TCCTGCTTGTGATCAGGGTGCCCAGCATTCATCCCAGGTAGCTCTCCAAGCAAAATGCATGCCTTCTGTCCGTGCACCTACCTCCTCTCCCAGTGCAGTCAGCATCGCAGGACTTCAGTCCTGCATCAGTCACCACTGTTGCCTCTAATGCTGGAGTTCCTCCTATGAACTCAGCCTCAGTCAACAGCAGTTTCCCTCCTCACATCACTCAGCTCTGCTCGTGACTCAGTGCTCACCTGAAGCTTCCCATTCCTGCTCCCAGCACTGTCCTTAGTACCTCGGGTGCCTTCGGACCCAGTACATTGGAGAAGACACATTCTAGGCCCAGGGAGGTCCAGGGCGTTGGCGAGTGTCTTACTGACTGTGGCTCGAACCCAAGTTCTTCATGGTTCTCCAGGTTCTGAGATTTGTTCACTAAGACCCATTTCCATCCAGACTGTGTTCTGTTCATCTCATTCCTGGAGTTGAGTTGACTTTCCTGAGGAAACCACTGAGTTCACCTCTAACCAAATGACCAGATTATGGACACGTCATTGCCATATTGGCCCCGTTTTCAGGCTTTGAGTTGGCAAAATAGGAAGTTGGAAGTTTAATTACCAGTCCTTCACCCTCGTAAAGTATCTGAGTGGTCGTTTTAACTTGTTACGAAGGCTGACTGCATATTTACAGCATAGTGTAAAGTAGAGCTTTATCCTTAAAACTACTCTTGTAGTTTCAGATCTTAGATTTAATGAGGTTTGTATTTTTCCTAACCTCTTATTTTAGAATCTGAGCTATTTCTATTTCTGTGGTTGTAGTAGGTTTACTGACCAGAAGCACCAGGAAGGCAAGAAAGTGCCCGTCACCTAAAATGGGCAGACTGAGACCTGCAGGATCCCTGTCCTCAGAGCCCAGCAATGAGGCCTTTCCTTGCTGGTGAAATGGGTGCTTTTTCTTTCCTCCCAGGTAGCAAGTTACATCAAAGAGCAGACTCAAGAGCAGTTTCAGATGATCATCATTTCCCTGAAGGAGGAGTTCTATGCCAAGGCGGATGCCCTGATTGGCATCTACCCAGAGGTGAAGGTGGGGGAGGGGACAGTAAGACCACCTTCCGGTTCTTCCCGGAGACTGTAGATACTGATTGATTTCTGCAATTGATTTCTATAGGCTTATTTTTTAATCAAATAAGATTTAGAAGTAACTCCTCAACTATTTCCCTGTCCAGCACAGAGATTTTAGATATGAAAAAGCCAATTGAAAACCGCAGAGCATGTTTTTGTAAAACAATAGTACATATTAACTACACAGAGTAAACTAAGACTGTAATTCCCATTTCTGTAATGTTTGAACACTTTAGGCAAAAACAAATGCATTGTGGTGGAACTAACAAGGAGCCATTTCTCTTCCAAAAATACCAGAGGGAGAAACAAACAGCTCCAGTTGTGTAGTGACTTTCAGCGTGAATGTGCCTGTCTTCAGCCGTTCAACATACTCGTTGTGATCGTCCCATTTTTGGACGATGAGTTGCTAAGATAAAAATAATTTCCCTTCCTGTGCCTACAAATTGTTTGGGAATCACTGAGATGTGCTGCAGTAGAGAAATGAAAACTCTCACTCCACACTGGGGAGGAAAACAGTCTTCTCTCCTTCTTGGGGTCTCTGGCCAGGCCTATAAATCAGGCTGGCGAGACAGGTTAGCGAGAGAAACACAAACAGGAGCTTAAGAACCGAGCGTCGCCCTGAGTAACCCTGGGGAGGGGGGGTGGCTAGAACCTGGGCTCCTCTCCCATCGTGGGCTGAAACGGGGGAGGGGGTGGGGGCCGTGATGGGCAGGCAGCCAGGAAAAGGGTGGTAAACAAGTCAGGTTTGCTCTGCAGATTCAAATTCATAACAAATAAGGGTAGAGAAGTGTCATCTTTTACATAAATGTAAATTTCCTTTAGAAAAAGAAAACTTGTGCCTAGTTTTCAGAGCTTTTCCTGCATCTGCTGGTTCTCAGTAGCTCAAAACAGTCCATACACCAAAGAGCCCCACCGGGGCGCGGCACATCCTGGGGCCCTGTACCAGGTAATACAGAAATAAGCAAACAAAGCTGATGTAAATGCAGGCAGAAGAGGCCTTTTTAGGTGGCTACGGCGAGCTTCCTTTTTAAATGCAAATCCAGATTCACTACTGGCTCTTATTTTATGCTTAGTAACCTCTTTCCTTCGTAGAAGGACTGACTTAACTGCCTGCTCTCCCGTTTCAGCATGACGACTACATGTTCAGCCGAGTTCTGACCCTAGATCTTTCTCAGTATCCAGACACTGAAGGCCAAGAAACCGGCAGGAGACAGCAAGAGCCCCGTTAGGGTCCAGAGTGCCCGGAGCAGCTGCCAGCTGTCAGAGCAGATGACAGACAGTCGTCAGTGTCATCACTGTTTAGTTCTGACTCCAATGTTCAAACAGCTGTGGGATAACAAACTTCTGGGGCAAGCAAGACAGCCGTGTGCCATTTAAGAGAAAGCTTAACCGCTACGAGCCAAAGGTGCTGTTGCTCATTTCCCACAGGCAGAGATTCCTGTGAGTTAGTTTTGAACAATTAAAAAAAAAAAAGTACAATTTATACCATAGTTTTAAGTTCTGTGTTGAAAGCCAGCCAGAAAAATGCTGAATTCCGCATCATCTTTACTCTGGTCCTGCCTTCTCCACTCTCGTCACCTTCAAAGGATACTCTTGGTTTCTGAATATTCTAGTCATAGGGTGTTGAACCTGCGTTTGAGAAGTTATTGCAGAGGAACTGATGTCAGTATGAAAATATCAATAAAAAAGGTTATTTCAAATGTCTCCAATCTACAATTTTATAAACAAAATTTTAAGGTTGAACTGAATTACATCTGCTTCAGAGCAGTCCACGTTTTTCTAAATGTGATTTGTTAGAAAGGCAACGAACACGGGCTTCCCCAAGTGACAACTGACTTCTCCACTAAGTCCACTGTCACAGGTGGGAAGAGAGTGGCAGAACTGTCGACAGTACTTCATTTCCATCGCGGGACAGCCAGGACATGTCTTATTTGAGGCAGCTTTGGGCCAGTGCTAACCAGGAGTAGCCGCCTCAGGTAACAGACTCGCGTTTGAACAGCCCTCGTTGCAGGTAAACAGACGCACTGCCCAGGAAGGGCAGTCAGCCCTGCCTCCCGCCTCAGCGGCTCGTCTCTGAACTGCAGAAGCCCCTCCGTCTGCCCTTTGTTCTGTTTCATCTCAGCCACCAACCTTCCTGCCTTGAAGCACATCCCTTAACACTGTCATGTCCTTTCAGTGCCACCTGAGCTCAGTGTCCCCATCATCTCCTCTGGGCTGTCCTTGTCCTCACTCTCAGAACTTGGACCCAGATGGTCAGTAAGGAGCATCCCAGCGTTCCTGAAACCACCCTGCTGTGCAACAGTGAAAGCCGGCGATGGGAAACCAGGGGTGGGAACACCGTGCCCAAAAAACCACCTGTGGCTGACACACCACAGGGTTAAGATCTACACAAATGTTATAGTAACTGCGGCACTTTCTCTTGCAACCACCCAGAAGCTGGCTGGTGAAGCGGGCTCAGCGGGTGCGGTGGTGGAAGGGGGTGGTCCAGGCGGTGTAGGCTGGGCAGGCTCGCGGTGGTGCATTTGCTGTGACCTGTCACCCAGCACGGGGAGGTCAGCAAACAGCCAAGAGGCTCTTACACCTGTGTTACTGTTTAAAATGCCACCATGTAAAAATGGAAGAGCACTGCAGCGCCCCCTAGCAAACGGCCAGGCTCTGTCCTGTCCCCGACCCGGGGTCAGCAGGGACAGCCTACGTAAGCCAAGCAGATATGTGCAGTGCTCCTCGGTCAGCCACGCTGGAGGGAGCCTGCGTGTTAAACCCCGCATCACGGCAGAACTGACAGTAGACAGGTCCACTCTGAACAGCAAGGCCTCTGCCCCCGCGCGGCACTCGGCTGGCCCTGAGCTGGCTCTGCGGCACTTTCCAGGTTCCCTCCTGTTCCCTGTCATTCCCTGTGTTGTGATGTTGCCACGCCCCATGTCTGCCCAACTTTCCCTCCGGTATCCACCCCCCGATCCCACTTTGTGAGTCTTTAAAAAAACTACCATGTTTGCTTTTCAAAAACGAAGCACATGGAAGTAATCACTTGATTTCACAATTGAGTGGCAACCGATGGTAAAAACTCTCACCAAGTAAATCAAAGCCTTGGCAGAGCGAAAGTTGAGCACAGAGTTGAAGTTAAAATTTCATGACCAGAGTAGCACGAAAGATTTGTTTCTCATGCTTCACAAAGATGACAAGGTCCAAGCAGGTGAGCTCAGCCCTCTCCACGCCCCACCCGCTCCTGTTCTTTATGCCTGTGGGGAGCTCCTGCGCCCTCCATGGGGAGTGTCACGGTGCCTGGAAGAAATGTCACATCGAAGTTGGCAGCCTCTAAAACGGGAACCAAGCAGGGCCTTTGCCATGGTCACAGAGCAACCCCCCCTCAACACACAAGCACAGCAGGCAGCCGCTGCCCCCATTTGGCGCATGTACGACACTGGAGGCAACCTGCCGATGGTCCTCACACATCGATGTCGTGTGCCCCCCCCCC